ATTAGACTAAATTTGACAAATATTTTGAAAATATATTTTTTGCAAGTTTTTAATATTAATTTACAAAATGGTCACCCAACACTAAACAATAGCCTCTATCTCAAGAGGTAGAGGAGCCAAATGTCTGGCTCACTGCTGCCAACTAGTGGTCAGAGGCTGAACTACAACATAAAAATGCACGGCTGGCAGGAAAGTTGACATTTTTAAAGCTTAATAAAAAACCGATACAGGGCTTTGGAATATCGATACAGTATTGGGAAATGAAATATCGCGATATTTCAGACAGTGTATCGATATTTTCTTACACCCCTATTTAAAATACATTTTTAAAACCTGGATCATTTTGATATCATACGTGGATCCAGAGATATGACTTAATTTATCTTGTTGGTTACAATAACACAATAATATCTGGTCTGAATTCTATTTATGTAATTTTAAGGATGAATTTTTAATGTCAATATATAGAAAAAACTTCAGATAGTATTTGAATATTGAGATTTTCTAGCTGGAAAGAAACAAAAACATTTCTAGCTCACAGAGAAAATGTCAAAATTTTAAGGCGTTTTTTTCCACAAAATCAGTTTTTGTTGGTGCTGCTCAAAAAAGTGCTTCAGTATTTTGTTTTATGATTATATTTCAAACAGTTCGTTCAAATGATACAGTGATAAAGCATTTATTCATTATGTTTTGACAAAAGGCAATTTTTGAAAATGTTTTAATCAAAACACTATATTTGCCTATTTCTCCACGTTCCACTTTTAGACTTAATCCTCATTTCTATGTGATGGGTCACATTTTATATTCATCCATTTTTTAACTAGACCAAGAGACAGCTTATATTTTGTACTGTGAAAAAATGTATAATTGTCAAAAACATACGATCAAAAAGACAGTACACTACAGCGCTCACTCTGCTTACTAATATGTAGTAAGTAATGTCATTTTCTTCTCAAGAGCAGTAATCAACAAATTTATTTGTAGTGAAATCCTTTGTGGATGAGCTCAGAGCAGAGTTCAACAGTGGGCAAAGACCCCCGGGAGCCCTCATAGAGACCTGGATCTCACTGACACCTCAGGAACAAATGAAGGTGCTGGGTCAGCTGATGCAATCCACAGAAAGCTCTTCTCAGACGCTTTCTGACCAGGAAGCCAAGATGAAAGCCAGTTTAGGTAAGTTTAATTAGTTTATGACCTGCTATTCAATAGATTATCATGTTTTAAAGATGAGTTATTAAGCAAGTTATCTTTAAAAATAATCCAAACTTGTAAAACTTTTAGACATTCAGGAAATTGAGGTAAAGGCTAAAAGTTTTAAGATTAAACAGAGTGTGACATGGTGCAGCATAAATACAAGAAACCATGTTGTGATTAATTATAACTGCTAAGTTCCTTCAGTCCCACAGTAAAATTGTTAAAATTGCTAAAAGAGTTTTTAACAATTTTAGCCCTTCACAACCTTTCTTAAAATAAAAATAACATTTATGTGTAACTTTAGTCACCTTGTGCAACAATTACTAACTTTTCTCTATTAAAAAAAACAAACAAACTGTAAGCCACAGATTTTTCCCCTGCAATTTACTTCTGTTTATTTGTGTAATATCAGTTCACGCCAAAAGTCATTTCATGGGGCTAAAAGAAAAAGTAAACTTTTTAAAGTTTAAGTTCAATCACACAGGGGTCCTCAAATGTTTTGGGTCTGGTGACCCTTTACCAGGCTGAAACATTTCCAGGGTTAAACCCCACGCTGTTATAAAAATAATTTACTGTCATTTTACCTCCTAAATACCATGGGAATATTATCTTTTGTTGGTTTAAGTGTGTTTGTTTCACTAGTGTATTGTTCCCCAAAAATCAAATGAGCAATTTATTGAAAAGTTTTGAGGACCCCCAAGATACAACTCACAGACCCCCTGGGGGTACTGGGACCCTAGATAAARCCTCTGCTGTAGCATACTGAGGTGWAATAACCACGTCTTCTGGTTCTGCGGAAACTGCTGCYGCTCACTGATKAGAGAAACTCTGAAACAGGCTGGTTGAACAGCAAGAATCTTTATTTTGCAGTCCAGGAGATTACAGCCAAAAAAACCAAATTATAGCCTCCAAGCCAAATGATTCACCAAGTAAGAAAGATGGAGAACGAAGGCCAAGGGTGGGGGCGTACAAAGCTCTTTATAGGCTTCACAGTGTAGTTCAACAGAGGCCTCATAAATTTTGTCACGGTATACCTTAAGCATTCCCTTTCCTAATATGGTAATACTGTATGTGCTGAGCTCTGGAGCTGGAAAACCAAGAGACATCACATCTGTGCATTCCTGAGAAGGGGCCCCCACTCTTGGACACTGCAATACAATTAATAATTAAATCCATTATGGTTTAGTCTAATTTTATAGATGGATGGGTGGGTAAAATTTATTGTCTGTCCCAAAGGTGACAGAAAATCATCTTTAACAGGGCTCCATGTTAAAAACACACATTCAAGTTAAAAAAGACARTCAAAGACACATTAAGTACTATAATAAAACCCTTATCCATACAAAACAACCAAGTTAAAAAGAATCCTAAAATGTGGGTGATGTAACTGTGCAGCCTTGTTTAGTAGGGGAATTGCAGAAAGGACAAATTATTTTCTATAGATGTTTTTTCCTGTCCAGGGGAACTTTATAAAACCTGCCAGAGGGTAGAATCTAAAAAAAAAAAACAGGAATGTGACTGGTCTGTGTGATCTGACTGGCTTTCCTGACCACAGAGGACTGACAGTGGGCTTTGAACTGAACCAGTGGTCTTACTAGACTGGTTAACGATGCGGGATAGTTTTATTTTATTGTTTCATTATAATGAAACTATACCAGGTATAAATAACATTGAGCTATAGCAAGTTGTGGAAATGTCAGTGTTGTATAAAGTACCTCAAAGTGATACTTGAGTAAAAGTACAAGTATCTTATCATAAAAATACTTTGGTAAAAGTTAATGTCTCCTCTAAGAANCAGGTCTCCAGTTCAACAGAGACACCTGAACAGATCCCCAGTTCAACAGAGACACCTGGACAGGTCTCCAGTTCAGCAGAGACACCTGGACAGGTCTCCAGTTCAACAGAGACACCTGAACAGGTCCCCAGTTCAACAGAGACACCTGGACAGGTCCCCAGTTCAACAGAGACACCTGGACA